ATTCTACAAATTCTAGTAGAATTTTTTCTTCACATATTCGTTATTAATCTTGTTAATTTTATGTTTGGTTTGGCTTCTGAGCCATGAGTGTATAAGATGCAGCAAACACAAACTCAGAAACCAAATACACGCTCTCTTAAACTTAAATGTGCGCACACATAGTCTAATGTCCATGGCAATCCAATAAGGCCTGCTTTACGTTTGGATTGTTATTTTCTAAAGTTTTTATAAAAAATTATACGAAACAATTTGATATATAAGATAAAAATATGATTGAAAAATGTGTTTAACATTTTTATGGAAGAAAAATGACAATCCAAACAACTAGTAATCTTAACTAACATTGAAGTCTAAATCAGCACTGATTTCACATTTAAATCAGCATCGCCTGCTTCTCCTTCTCATAATAATGAAAAAATAAAAAAGAATGGCCAGTTTACTATTTTCTCAACTTGTGAAAAGGGTGTGGCTTGTTACTATTTCAAGCTATTATTCTTTTAGAATATATTATATGTTATATGCACCATTCAAATTTTCAACGTGTCTTCTTGTCTTTAACCAGGTTCCTTCCTCCTCAAAGAGAATACCTAAGCATACATGGTGTAGGGATTCTAATTCCACTAACCATTCTTCAGGTTTGCCACCTCTTTTAAACAGTAGTCTTTGATATTCCTCTCATTCTTTATTAACATGTAAACACTGAATAGTACCTGTTTACCGATTAATTTTTCCGTACCTTAGATCAACCACGCAATTGTGCAGGAAACATAAGCCAAAAAAGCCAAGCATTCAACTGTAAACATAATCCAATGACAAGAAGCCTATAGCCAATTAAAGTATTAAATCTGTAATTACTTAATTGCTTTAAAATAGTGGCAACTGACATGATTGGGTTTGTATCATGGGAGTATATGAGTTAATTTGAAATAACTCTCGTAGCGTGTTATTTGATTAAAACAGGGCTTATCTAGTTCGTAAAGCAATTAGGAAATTAAATTCTACGATCGTACTTAAGATTATTTCTCGATTAGAGTAGCGATTAATAGTCATACCTTAATCACCGATACAGTAAGGATAAATTGATTATTATCGCTTGTTTGCGGTTATAACTTGTTTATCAGTTAATAATCGAAATTATCATTGCATCAATGATCAATTGAGTGAACCATTTTCCAAATTATTCCATGGCTAGAGTTTATTTATTATTGATTCAATCGTAGTAAACTGTCATCAGTTTTTATTTATTTATTTATTTTTATTTTTACTTGAGCTGTTTAGCTACCTCCATTCTTATGAAAATCCCCCCAAACTTTGAATTTAAGAGAAAATGAATTTCCCCAATTCCTATAGATTCAACTCTACTTACTACTACTACTGTATACAAAATTTATATATTATTTAAGTAAATATTTATTATTATACAGACTCGACGCCGGTTAACTATCCCTCCTTAAATGTTGATTTTGACGGTCCAATTGTGGGGCTTGATTGTGGGCCTTATGAGAGAAGGGTATTTCATTAAAAAAAATTTTAACTGCTATAGATTTAAACCACTCATAATTGCATTCAACAGCTATAGATTTAAATGCAACCATTTTAGGTGATTGTCATAAATACATGCAACGACTCATAAGTCCACGATGTGACAATCACCTAAAAAAATGGTATTTACAAACAAATTTATGAGTGTGACGTGACAATCACCTAATATAGTTTGGATGTAGTTATGAGTGATTGTCCACCATTTTCATCGTACGGAATTAATTAATGCATGGAATAATTTTTCATCTACTTCAAAAAATTGATGATAAGCTTGTGCTGAGCCTACACACACTTGGCCACTTCTTCACCACGTGGTTCCTTTTTTTTTGTTCGGGTTATAAATTCTGGTCCACAATGATAAATCAAGTGTTGTCTGTGAAATGGGATTTACAAGCATGTTTTGATTGGTAACCATTTTTGTCTTACAACCTACAAGCTAAAACCAACATGATTTTACATGCTTTTATAATCATGGGTATGATTGTACTTCCAATGTTTTCAATCTCTTTTTGCTGCCAGTGTATTCTTTTCACTCTGCCTCATGAGGGTGCGTGTTCCAGAGGCTTTTTGAAAGATATCATCATCATCATGTATAGGAAGCTGCATTTTGTTGGTGTTTTTTTAGCATGTTTATTTTCTTGTGTTCAAGGTCTTTTGCTTTATCACTTGTATTGTTGTTTGTCTGCAACTTTTTAAAAATTCTTGCCTTTCCACCATATTTTCTAAGCAGGTTCTTCTTCTGGTTTTGCTTCCTGTTCGTACTGGTCACAAAATCTAGGTTTAAGCTTACTGGTATCTCTTTATGTTTTCTACTATTTTTAACAATATGCATATTTGTACTTTCATTTAGCCTTAGTTTTTAAACTGTAGCCATATTCAGTTTTTATTTTCCCAATTACTATTTTACTGCCTTGATGTCATTTGGCTCTTTTTTTTTTTTTAATTTTTCCCTTTTTTTCAGCCTAATGTAAAGAGACTACTTCCAACAAGACAGAAAGTTTTACTATTTTGTTTTTAAAAAATAATATTTTATACAACACACAACCCTATTCAATAGAAATAAAGTAAAAAGATTGTCCATCTCTCTCATTTTTTAACTATTCCCATGTGTTTTTAACATGGGCATCTAGACCTTATTCAATCAGCTTTTCTAGCTGAGCTGCTTTGCTGCATTATTTTTGCTAATGTTGCAGGCTTGCAGCCAACCCAAGATCATGTTAACCACTTATCCACAATTCCTGGATGTCATAAAACTCCAAACAGAAACCAGTTTCTAGTCTTGAAACAAAGTTGAACAAAAATCCTGAATTTCTGTTCATGGTCTTGACATAGCCCAACCCCAAACTAAACCTCTAAAGATGTTTGTCCAGCCATTAGCAAAAGTGCAGGAGATGGGAGGTGGGCCCAGTGGAGTCATACTGAAAAGGGGTCCCATCCCTCAAACCACTGTAGCTTTATATACAGTTAGAAGAAGAATTAGGTGTAATGTCACCATGACTTGTCATTGAGCATCTGAGCAGCAAATGTCTACATCTGTTTGTGTGTATTAAGAGAGAATGAGAGTTTTTAAACATTGAAGGGTTACATGTTTGGAAGGAAACAAAAAGGCAAAAGCTCTATCAAGGGTTTTGAGGTTAGTTGGGGGAACAAAACCCTGTGTTTCCATTAAAATCACCTCTTAACTGTTGAACATGACATGTTAATACACTTTGATTAAGCATTAATGTCTGGGAGTACAACTTACTAGAAAGGTGCTGGCATAATTAATTAGATATTCATTAGTTCTGTTGTTTCTATACTTTTAGGTGTTTGATTGCCTTTAGTCTAAATTTAATGTTCGTGATTTTGATGCGATAAGTGAAAAAAACAAAGAAACAATGTAATTAGAAGCTAAGAGAACAATACGCTGCATTATCCTCTCAAGAAAAAGAAATTCGTCTGCCTAAACAAAGGGAGGCATACCAAAGAAGAAGAATAAATAAATTCTTGAGCCTTCCTGCTCCTCAACAACTCAAACAAGCTCAAAAAAATGGTTCTTTCGGACGAAGGAAAAAAAAAGCACAAATCTGAGGTTGACGCCCTTGCATCGCAGCTTCAAGAAGCTGCAACTTCTACTGCTTCTGGACTCCATTAATGACCAAACTATACAAGGTCCAACACTGATTTCACATTAAGATCAGCATCGCCTGCTCCTCCTTCTCATAACAATGAAAAAGGAAGAGGAAAAAAGGAAGAGGAAGGGCCAGGTTACTATTTTCTCAACTTGTGAAAAAGGTTAAAAGAGGATTATTCTTTTAGTATATATTATATGTTATATACACCGTTCAAATTTTCGACGTGTCTTCTTGTCTTTAACCAGGTTCCTCCTCAAAGGGAATACCTAAGCATGCATGGTGTAGGGATTCTAATTCCACTAACCATTCCTCAGGTTTTGCCACCTCTTGTAAACAGTAGTCTTTGATATTCCTCTCATTCTTTATTAACATGTAAACACTGAATAGTACAGGAAACATAAGCCAAAAAAGCCAAGCATTCAACTGTAAACATAATCCAATGTTATATTATCAATAAAAAAAACTAACAAAAAATAAATGATGATAGCTTATAGGTCGTAAAAGTATGAATGAAACAACTAAAATTACTAAATCAGTACAAAAACAAAATAGTATTTATCAACAATATATTTATACTCTCAAGAAAAATTACAAAAATCTTAAAGAACATATACTCGGTGCCCACGCGTCGCGCGGGAAAAATCCCTAGTAATTAAATTCATCAAACATGATAAAACAAATCAGGAACCGTGTTGACAAAGCTTGTGAACCACCAACTGCAAATGGGACCTGAACGGTTAATGGCCATGATCTTGCCTCAAAAGTTTGTGTGGTTGAGATCACAAGTTGTAATTTAATTTTTAATTTATGTGTAAAATTCACAAAAATTTATTCTAAAGTTACGCGATGTACAAAGAAAGTTACGCGCGGCTAAAAATGGACAAAATCGACTAGGGACCCCTTTCCACCACGAACTACCCTTTCATCCAGAAATCTATTTGGAACGTGTTTTTTGTGGCCATACAAGTGAAATCATTGCCGCCTACCCGTGGTCCTGCAAGTGAAATTATTGCTACCACGTACCCTTATAGTCAACCATCTTATCTGGAAATCTTATCCGGGACATGATTTTTGTGATCATGCAAGTGAAATTGGTGCCCTCTATTGAGATATCCCACATCGGAAGTCAAAAGAAGAAAGAAATGAAATATAAGTTCCAATTTGTTGAATTATTTATAATTTTGAGTTTACTATTTTGAACCGAGACTTCAACTCAAAAAGTTATTAGGAGTTCTATAAAATTAGATGAGTGAGATATCCCACTATTATAATTTTGATTTGAAATGAAATATGAGCTTTGGCATGTTGGATTACTAATAATTTTGATTTAATCATTTTAAACCTATATTTTTAAATCAAAAACTTATTGGGACAGTCCAATGGACCCGGGGTGATACAACTATCCTTTCATTCACCACTATATATACGCATATATGTGCAAAAGTTTATGCACTTAGAATCTCACAGCAAATGGCTTTTAATCAGTCTTTCTTCCTTGTTCTTGGGCTCCTTGCATCTAGTTAGTCTCTCATACTGATATTGTTTTATTATTTACGTACACTCATAATTAACACAATAGCTCCTCTCTCTCTCTCTCTCTCTCTCCTTTTTTAGCATATTTTATATAGTAATCAAATTATTTCGTTTCACGTAATATGAAAGCAATGAAATAGTATCATGCAAAAGTGTGTGTGTGTATGTACAATCATAACTAACACAATAGTCTTTCTTTGTCTTTCTATTTTTTTTTAGCATATTTCATATAGTATTCAAATTATTTCGTTTCAAGTAATATGAAAGGAAGGAAATAGTATCATACACCCGCACGCGCGCATACACACACATATAATAAGAGCATTTTTTGTCCAATACTAGCTAATGTACTACTAAGATTTTTTTTTCCCCAATTTCTTTTGCAGGTGTGGTGATAGGAAAAGTTGAAGCTGCAGAAGCTACAGAAACCACCAATGCCGTCAAAACTGCATCAAGAAAAATGCTGCCAGTTGGAGGACAGATTATAAAAATGCTTGGCGTTGGAGTTCATGATGGTCAGGAACCCCGCTGTGTACGCGCGGGGGAATCCTGCACATACAAACCATGTTGTCCTGGCTGTTTCTGTTAAAACTCCTTGCAGTTTAGAATTTTTTTGCATATGTCCGTGTATTTTGTCTAATAAAATGGTTAAATGCAAAATGCCTTCATGAACTATATATTCGGTTACAATTTCCCCCCTAAATTGTTTTTAAAGGCACTTCGCTCCCTCCCTCTCCCCCCTCTTGATATATCTGGACAAATCTATCCCTTCTATCTTAAGCATTCTTGCTTTTCGTTAAAAAATTATAATGTCTTCTGCTACATGATTTTTTGTGCTAACAAATAATATTAAAACCCTTGATTCAAGCAAAATTGATCCTAGAGTCGTTCCTGTCCATTTTGTGATAGAATACTCAAATATCAGAGAATTGGACCACTATCTGGATCATTTGTTGACAATTAAAGAAAAATTGACCATAGTTGGACAGGGGTCTAAAAAATCCTGTCAAAATTATTTGTGTTAAGCAGTGATTAGCGAAAAAGATTCCGTCAATAATTGAGCCATAAATCAAGAAGGCCAAGAAATTCAAGTAGGGGAGGAAAAAATTATTTGTGAAGGTACGTACATTATTTTTTGAGTTGCCATGACAAACAAGGAATTTATTAATGGTAAAAGCTTAAATTTTGTACACGTACTCTTAGTACTGATGAAAAAAGATCTGAATGAGTAGCAAAAATGGAATACTATCTCAAAAGGTGTGATTTGGATAATATTTTTGAAATAAATTTTAGTAGTAGTTTGTCAAAAGAGGTTAAGAAAAAGAAGGTAAAGTTGCTTTTCAAAATTATAAAGAAATCTATAATAGGCGAATTTTATAAAATACTCTTTTTTAGTTCTCAATCACCTCAATTGTTTTGGTAGACTATTTTCTATACTTTAACAAATTTTTTGTATGAATCTAATCACATGTTAAAACTTGATTTGGAATGGCAGGTCAACCATTGACTTATTTGGCTACCTTGTGATACTTAAGAAAAACTTGTAATATGAGGTGTGAGATCATTGCAAAATGAGCAGAATTTACAGTGATCGTGATGAATAAGGTAATAGTAACTAAGCAATTTTATTTCATTTTCCCTTTTTCTCTTCAAGACAACAATTTCAACACGCCCCGTAATAATTGATAAGACCCCTAATGCCCCATCATGTGATCGGTCTGGTTCAATGTTTTGTTAAAGTTAAGTGTCCTTCTTGTCCTTCCAGAAGAGAATCTAGACTTCTCTAGGCTGATGGTTACACCACAAACCAGTGTAAATTCATCAAGAATATTGCATAATCAGTATGCATAGAACAATCAGAATTTCTTACGAAAGAATTGTATGTCCTCTGGAAAAAGGCAGTGTAAAGTAAGAGATCCTCAATCACACACTCGAGTTGGAAAACCAGTTCTGAACAGAGAAGCCTGACTCATCTAAATAAGATTGAATGTAACAATTATTATGTATTACAATTTTCAGAATCAAATTACTAAGCTATAGTTTAAAAGTTCTGATACCTTGTGAAAAAAATCAAGATGCCCGGGCTTAACAACATGAGATCTCTCCGGAAAAGGTAACATTTTAAAAAAAAATAACTATCTCGCCTTTGCTCTTAACTTTTGGACTCAAAGTTCATCTTCAATTTGTTGATCAAATTTGTTCTTCCAAGTTACTCTTCATACTTGTACGATGATTCTTAGCTCAATGATTAAAGGTACAATATATTTTTTAAACGTGTAAACTAATATTAAACTCCAACTATCCCTCTTTAAATGTTGATTTTGACAATTAATTGTATGAGAGAAGTGTTTTTCAATCAAAAAATTTTCAGTTAACTATTTTGAACCTATAATTTCAGTTTAAAAAGTTATTAGGTCAACTCGGTAAACCCGAGACACTATAAATGGTATCAAAGCAATCCACGCGTGACTCGCAAAGTTCCTAAAGGTGAGGTGAATGAGATATCCCCCGTTAGAAGTTGGAAGAATAAAAAAAAAATTAACATAGAGAGCTCTGGTCTATTGGATTACTAGTAATTCTGAATTAACTATTTTGAACCTGTAATTTTAACTCAAAACTTATTAGACCACCCCAGAGGTCCCGGGGCTTGGATCTCTCTTTTCATTCAGCCCTGTATATACACATGTATGTACAAAAGTTTATGCACTCAGGATCTTACAGCAAATGGCTTTTAATCAGTCTTTCTTCCTTCTTGTTGTTCTCCTTGCATCTAGTTAGTCTTTTTTTTTTTTTTTTGTCGAAACGATAGGATACTTTCATTATAGTAAGGAAAAAATTTACAAGTGCGAGCAACGGCTCGAGAGAACTTTACAAAAGTGTTCAAAGACACTGAGGAACATTCCTTTCCTCATCCACAATAATGCCTAAAGCATCAACACTTAATTTTCTACTATCTATCATATTTTCTTCCCTACTCAAGCAAAAGGAGCACATGCAAAACAGTTTTTTCACATTCACAATATCCTCCAGCAATGCATCTAGTTAGTCTCTCATACTTATTTTGTTTTATCACTTACATGCAATCATAACTAACACATAGTCTCTCTCTGTTTTTTTAAGCATACTCATGCAGTATTCAAATGATCTCATTTCAGCTAATATGAAAGGAAAGAAATAGCATCATGAGAAAGTAAATAAATATAACAAGGACGCTTTTGTCCAACAAATCGGGAGGGTGGGGAGGGAGAGGGGGCACAAAATGCCTATTAAAGAAGTTTAGGGGGCAAAGTGCCACTATGGTGAAAGTTCATGGGGTTTAATGCATTTAACCCAATTGAATTACTAGTTTGTCTTCAAATTCAATTAGAGTATTAATTACTAGTAGAACTCAGTTAGTCCATTACTAGCTAATTTACCGCTAAGATTTTTTTTTTAAATTTCTTCTGCCGGTGTGGTGTTGGGGAAAGTTGAAGCTACAGAAACTATCAATGCTGTCAAAATTGCATCAAGAAAAATGCTGCCAATTGGAGGACAGATTATAAAAATGCTGCCAGCATCTAAGGGAACAATTAGCAAATTGTTCTTGCTAAATAAATGGAAGCGGGGTTCTAGTGTAAAATATGTTATCTCCTGCTATTGAATAAATTATGGTAAATGGATTTTCAGCAGGAAATCCATTGCTGTTTGGACATTTCATGGTAATGGATTTTGAGTTAAAACTCCTTACAGTTTGGAATTCCTTGCAGATGTCGTGTATTTTGTCTAATAAAATGGATTAAATGCAACAAAAAAAAAAAAAAAACCACCGTAAAAACTATATATCTAGTTATAATTTACCCCTAAACTGTTTCTATAGGCCCTTCCCCCAAGCGAATATGTTTGGACAAATCTATCCCCTCTATCTTAATCATTCTTGTTTTTCTTTGAAAAATTACAACATGGGGCAGATAAACCAAAAAGTAAATGGACAAGTAGAGAATAAGACATCAAAGTTTGTAACATGGGGCATTTTGGAGCCCCACTGCCTAGCGTTTTTCGTCCCATCGCAATAATGACTTCATGAGTCTTTTCTACTCGCGAGGAGAAATTATCATGTTTATCTTCACATGCTTCGCGAGGAGTAAAAGTTTTCTTGCCAAAGTAATTTTGCTCCAAAGGTCAACAAAAGTGTCTTAGTCCTCAACAAATATGTCAACAAATGTGTACTGTCACCACTAATAAAATCATCATATACACCAAACCAAATGTGTACATATCTTGGTATATATTTATAACTGCATTATTATAACTACATTGGTATATATTTATATCTTGCCATAAAAAAAAGTGTTCTTGGTATATATTTATAATTGCATTTTGTTTCTATTATTGATTTACAATTATTGATGTTATTCCTATACAGAGAATTTGATTGATTTTGAACTCTGTGCCAATGGAATATATTGGATATTGATATTAGTAGTAATGGTTTAGATTATTTTGTATTAAAAAAGTGGCAGCCATGGAATTAAAATTTAGGGATATTAATGAATATTGTTGTGTATTAAGTAAACTATTAGATTGATATGAGATGGTAGGAAAACTTTTGAATATCTGATGTAGTGTTTATAGTTGGTACAATGATCAGCATAAAAAAATTTTAGATAAAAGAGGAACGTTAGAACAAAGATAAGTGTTTATTTAATGGTGATTTGGATGTTGATGGGTAGGTATTGGTCATAGCAAGTAAGATAAAATGAAATAGAGATTGTGAACTATTTTTTTCCTTTACAATTTTGTTGTGAATCATAACTCAAGGGTATTATAGGGATTTTGAGAAAAAGTATAGCCTTTTGTGCCTAAAATGTTACTTGAATAGTGAAAATAGGTGAGGTAGGCGCAATTTTTAGAACTTGAGGGGAGCTTTCTGCAATTGTAAAAAACTCAGGGGAGGTATGTGAAATTAACCCAATAAATAATTAAACCATGAGAACTTTTGTTTAATACAAAATAACACAAAGTTTACCCTTACAAATCCAGCCAAAATGTATTCCGAATCATTCAAGTCTTAACATAATTTGTTTGACCAGATAGCAAAGTGCAACAGATCTACATGGGACGAAGTGCCTTTTTTTTTTTTTTGGAGAGACTGGTTTTTGGGCCTATTGCAGTGTAAATGAAAAGGTCTTTTTTTTTTCAATAATTTTTTGTGTGAAATAGCAGCAATTTCAGGCACTAGAGATATGTGAATGCATAGGAAGTTAGAGCTCCACAAAAAATATATAAGTAAAAGAATAAAAAACAAAAAGATTTGTACTTCAATTCTTCAAGTGAGACTCTAAGTCTAATTAAGAAAAAAGCATAAAGGAGAGCTCGAGAGTCAAATTAAAACTTTACAATTACTTGATTGATGACCCTATTGATTAATTCCAATGTTCAAGAAACCAAAAGGAGGTATGGAACTCAAGAGCATTAAGAAATAAGGATCGAGGGCATGGTACTTCGTTCACAATTGTATGACCATATTTGTACAATCATTTGACCTGCAAAAATGCCATAACAAAACGATGGGTGAAGTAGGAAAGATTTACTTAGGATCTGTTTGGATAAGGGATTTGAGTGGATTTGGATTTGAAATCCACCCATCAATTGGAGGAATTTCAAAGCTCAAAATTGTACAGTGGAGAGAATGACATAAAATATGCATCCGTAATTTATCTCAAG